CCTCAGCCTCCCAAGTGCTGGGATTACAAGCGTGAGCCAGCATGCCTGGCTTTATAACTTCTTTTTGATGCTTCTTAATCCTTCATCTTTGGTCTTCTTACACCTTAGCAGGTAATATTGGCAAATATTATTTTGGAGCAACATTTGATATTTTTCCCATGTCAAGGATATTTTCTCTTACTAAAAATTAGTTTCCTCCATTCTGAGAATCCTGTCATCAAGTTGGAAGTATAAACCATTCTCCAGTCTTGGTTCATATGTGTATGTTGTTGGCTTTTATTGTGTGGAACAAACATTGGCACCTACAATGGTTTAACTGTATTAATTCTCTAAGAATGTTTTGGTGGACTCAGTCATTTATAGTAGTGTCACTCTGATGTTGAATCCCTATATTGGCAACCCGCGAAATGGAATGTTAAGAACATCCTGAGGACAGTCCACCCCTGTGCTGGCTACATGATTACCTAAGATAAACAGTTTAAATTTGAGTGGAAACTAAAGGAAATCTAAAGATCTACACCTTTATATTCTGCCTCCTCTGGCATGTTATTTAGTTTTTTAAAATTATGAATAATATTTACTATCTGTCACAAAAAGAAAAGTAAGAAAAATGAGACATAAATATAAGTCTGAAGTACAAAAGCACTTCAAATTAACTTATGTGCAAAAGAAAGACCATCCAAAAAATGATATTTAGAATAAAGAAGAAATATATTTTTATTTTTTGAAATTATATATAGGTACAAGATCCCAGTAATGAATGAAACTGTATTATATACCTAGAATGTACCAATAAACTCAATTTAAAAATAAATTATATATACATATACATATATATATATGTATATATATGTATATGTATATATATATATATATATATATACACACACACACACACATACACATATACTTAGTCTTATTAACTAAAGAAAATACTAAAATTACTTTGCTTTGGTATAGATATGTCATGCATAAATTTAAACATAAAATATAATAACTTCAAATTAAATAATGTAAAAAAGATTAGATAATCTAAAAGCAAATATCCCTAATAGAAGAGAAATATATGTGATTACCTAGTTTTTGAAATTATGTATATACTACTTAGTTTTATTAACTAAACAAAACATTAAATCTTGTTTGCATTGTTATAGATGTTTCATTGATAATATGTCCTAAGCTCAGCCTCAGACTGTCTCAGAAGAAATATAAAATTTCAAAAACATTGTATTTTTAAATACTTCTGGTTTTAAAGTAAAAAAATTTAAACCCTGCATTTCTATTGCACTGTCTATGTAAAGCATTTTATTTTGTTTTTTAATTTAAGTTATTTCTACTTTACAAAACTATGATCCCAAGCTCCACTATTTTACATTCTCTGAGGGGCCTAGTTTGGCACATTATTTTTGAGGTGTTTTGGCTTCAATTTCTGATCATGTTTCATAGTAAAATGATTGTAACTAGTATTTGGGTGGGGGGATTGTGGAATTTTTTAATGGGAAATATTTTCAGCTTGGGAAGCTGATATTTTTCTGGAAATGGAGGATGGTGGTAGATGCAGCATAGTGTGAGTGTAATTGGTGCAAGTGAGCTCTGCACTTCATAATGGTGATCACTGTAAATATTTGGAGTTAAATTTTGTTGTAATAATAATAGAAATAAAATGCCAGTGGATGCTGACCAAAAGAAATAACAGAAATGAATAGTGCATGTGTGCTTTCCCTTGAATCCAAGAAGATGTCCCAAATGTTTGATGACTTTAATTTTTCCTCCTTCTTGTGCCATGAATATTAGGAAGTCCTTAGAGACTGGCAAAACATGGGCCAGTTTGGCTGATTATGATCTCTGTGCTTTGAGCCCTTAAGGACAAATGAGAATGTTCTGTGCCTCCAGGTCTTCAGTCCAGTGGGAACCACATCTCTCTGTTTTCCTCCACAATATTCTGGATGAGGAGACTCCTGTCTGAGCCTGCATTCATGCCTAATATGAGTACAGAGCCTGTGTCTTCATTGAGCAACAAGACACTGCATCTGAAGAATTTTGTTATTGCTCAGCAGAGTAGCCGTCGAAACCAGTAAGCACAGAGGGACAGGATGGGTGGAGGAGGGATCATTGCTTTCCCATCATCAGGACCATCATGCAATTTGAGCGGCTGGGTGGGAGCATAAATTTGTGCAAAAATTCATCAATAAACCCTGCCATTTCAAGAAGTCTCTTTCTCACTGTGAACGTCTCCTTGGGGGATCCCTGCAAAACTCATTGTGTGGCAGCTGCTGTATCAGGAGCTTCCTGCTACAGGAAAAATGTCCATTTTCATAGCCAATGGTCACAGAAAGAGCAGACAGTAAAAATTCAGTAAAGACCACCATCTTCTCTACTGCAGAACATCCTGGCAATTGTCCATATCCTTTTGAAATGTTTTCATCAGTTCACTCAATCTCAAAAGGAGACTTAAAATCAGGTCTTGCTTTCTGTCATTGGAAATTATAGAGTTTAAAAATGTATCTGCAGTGAAGATCACTGTCCCCCGGCTGTTTAAGGTATTTTACCCACCAGCTGAAAATTTAATTTATTCCTTTTGATTCCAGGTGTTATCTCTTGAATGTTAGATTGTTATGATTTCTAAGCCCATTATTACATCTGAGTGGGATTCTAGTTCATACAGTTAGTATGAATTAAACAGATAATCATAGTTCTCTATGATATTAATATGCTATGAATATAAAATCAGGACATACAATTTAGTTATTCACACCCATAAGAATTATCATCAAATCATTAAACTAAATGATCTTGTTACTTGAAATAATTGTTTTTCTATTTCTGGAGCATTGCAGTTTAATTTGTAATTTTATTTAATGTATGCTATATATTTTGAAAGAAATGACTGTCTCTCATATCTGATTCCCAGAGTCCATGTTTGGTAAAAAATAGACACAAACAATGATGCATATTGAGTCATGAATATACCCTTCTTTTATACACAAATACTTGTTATAACCATTTGGGCTTCAACCCACTTGATAGTTTTCTCTGTGCATGTTCATTCTTTCCATGGATATCCTATAGCATTAAATGTAAGATAGAATAACACTTGTTTGTGTGTACTCATCAACAAAAGGGTCCTACACTTCCATTTAATTGCATTGATAATATTCAATTATTCAAAGACTATGGCAGAGATATCCATGATTATAGAGAAAAAGAGACACAAAGAGAAGTATACAGGCAAGCCTGCTGGATCTAAGGCATATTAGATCCATATTAACCTTTCTTGTCACTCCAAGGCTCCAGAGAGCTTTTTGTCAATTGTATGCACTAAAAATTGTGTGCACTGTTTCTTGACAGATATGTTGATTAGACTGCTTTAACTTAACCAGAGTATTTGGATATTTAAAAAAGTTTCCAGTTTGATATATTTATCCATAAAACTGAAAAGCAATACTGTATGCATGTAACTTTTTTGTTGTTGTTTTTTCTGTGTGTGTGTGTGGTTTTGTAGAGTGATCCTCTGGTCTTGTATATGGTGGACAAGTACTCTACTATCCTGCTATTCCCTAGAAGTTAGAGTTTTCAAAGGATTCTTTAAAACAGCTGCATAAGTAAACAGTTATTATTGCTGTATTAGAATAGACAAAACTGCAAAATGTGTTTTTTTCCTATACTTTCCTCCTTTGCATTCCTTCCAAATTATATCATAGTGGGAGCTGAAATATAATGAAGTCATATTTGTTTCAGATAGCTGAAGTACAATCCTCATAATCCATGTTTCAGGAAAGAGTTACTTGAAGGTCTATTAACTGGGGATAGAAGGATGGTCAGGTCTCAAACATGGCACTGGAACTGTCCTTGGTGTTACAGTCCTTCAATTTCAGAGAGATGATTATGGTCAGAAAAACAATGAAAGCATTTCTTGGTAATTTAAGAATATAGTTTCAAGAGAAAAAATACCTGTTTTAGCAGCATAACTCCTAGCAATAAATGGGCTTAACAAAAATAATTTTGTGGTCAAAAAACAAACAAACAAACAAATAAAAAACCAAAAAAAAAAAAACCACTAATCAACTGAACACATATTTCTTAACATTTGACTACTTTTTTGGAGAAATGCTGAGGATTGATCCCACTGTTACATACCCAGCTCTGTTTTATTTTTTAAATTTTGAGACAGGGTTTTGCTAAATCACTGTTTCCCAGATTGGGTTCAGACTTTCAATTCCCTGACTCCGCTTCCCAGGTGTCTCAGATTACAGGCTTTTGTCCCCATGCCTAGCAATTTTCCTTACTTTTCCATCATTGACCTATGCGGTGTACACTAATCCACATTTGTGGTCACAGATACAACTATGAAATTCAAGAAAACAAAGTTTATAAAATTTTCACAGAATCCAATAATACAAATTATATAGGAAATATTTTCTAAAAGACAAACAATTTTAGTGAACACTTACTTGCACAAAAGAGAGAAAAAAGGGATCCATGAATGATGAAAAAATTCTGGGTGATAACAAGCATGTACCTATTTTACCAAGGAACCATCACATTAGTTTGGAGTTCAATTGGTGCAGTTCTAATTTTTGTGGACCTGTTATTAATATTCCAAGTATATGGATATTGTAATTTGGTCTTCAATAAATGTAAGTTTGAATGCTTCTTAATTGTCATTAGAATATTATTTACTCTTTTTTTACAATTCATTTTTAATTGAAAGAGGTTATATTCTCTGTGACCACAGAACTCTTAGTGCTAATATTTTTGGCTGTAACATTGCTGAGTGTCTCTTAGGTGAGTATGGAAAGATATTATTTACACAAAGACCAATAATTTAAAAAGTTTTAAAAGGAATTGTTTTTATCGCAATCTGAGAAATATTGCTGAAGGTGTATGGACTCCAAGTTGGACAAATAAATATCTGAAAACATGAATTTGAAATATGTACAAAATATAGTGCATTTGTTTATGTGCATCTTTTCTTCCAACTTTTTTCCTTCCAAAGATGTTCAAGCAATACAGAAGCAGAAAATCTAACAGAGGTCACCGAATTCCATCTCTTGGGCTTCTCTGAAGATCCATACCTTCAGCCCATCCTTCTTGGTCTCTTTCTGTCCATGTACCTGGTCACAGTGCTTGGAAACCTGCTCATCATCCTGGTCATCAGCTCTGACTCCCACCTCCACACCCCCATGTACTTCTTCCTCTTCAACCTGTCCTTGGCTGACATCTGCTCAGTCTCCACTACAATTCCAAAGATGATTGTGGACATCCTAACTCACACAAAAGCCATCTCCTATGTGGGCTGCCTTACACAGATGTCTCTCTTTAGTATATTTATATGTATGGATGACATGCTTCTGACTGTGATGGCCTATGACCGGTTTGTGGCCATCTGTCACCCCCTGCAATATCTAATCATTATGAATCCGCACCGTTGTGGACTCTTAGTTGTGCTGTCATTTTTGTTTAGCCTCCTGGACTCTCAGCTCCACAATTTGATTGTATTACAATTTACTTACTTTAAGGATATGGTCATTTTCAATTTCTTCTGCAACCCTTCTCAAATCCTTAACCTTGATTGTTCTGACAACTTCTCCAGTAACATTTTAAAGTATACTGCTGGTGTGTTATTTGGATTTTTTCCTGTCTCAGGGATATTTTTATCTTACTATAAAATTATTTACTCCATTATTAGAATCCCATCATCAGGAGGGAAGTTTAAAGCCTTCTCTACCTGTGTGTCTCACCTGTCAGTTGTTGGCTTATTTTATGGAACAAGTATTGGTGTGTGCTTTGGTTCAGCTGAATCACAATCTCCCACATCTTGTTTGCTGGGCTCAGTCATTTATACCTTGGTCACCCCAATGCTAAATCCATTCATCTATAGCCTGAGGAACAGAGACATTAAAAGTAGCTTGAGCAGGCTATTTTAGAAAATTCTAATCTTAGAACCTGTGGTATCCAGTAAAAATATATACAAGACAGCAAAAGTAAGCATTTATACTGTACATTTTACTTCTATAATCACATTATTTTGGCATTAGATGGTTTTTAAAATGTCATCACATATTTAGCATAGTAAAAGAATGGTAGTCATTCTTTGAGCTTGGGAAGTATTGAGACTTTTAATGAGTTAAAAGTTTTAATTTGTGAAGATGAACAATTTCTGTGAGTGGGTTTTGGGGATGGATGTATTATTGCATGAGCATCATTAAGGCCACTAAGATTTGTACTTGAAAATGGTAATATTGTCAATATTTTAATTAAAATTATTACCATAATAGAAATAAAAACAACCCCCCCAGATGTATCTTGAAAAGAAACAATAAATGAATATATAATCAAGTTTCCTTCTGATTATAGGAAGAACTCCCAAATTTAGTGGAGATTTATTTTTTTCTTCTTCTACTATTATGATTAAAAAGTCCTTAGATGCTTTGATGAACCAATTTCCTTTTTATGAGATCTATGCATTGAGTCTCCAAGGTCATGCAATAGTCAATATTCAGTCCCTTCCTCCACAAGTTGTTTCATATCTCCATTCTGGCAACTACCATACATGTGTCACTTCCTCCGATGTTTATCTGTGTCTAAAAGTTCCTGTATTAGCCTGTATGCAAGTCTGTTCTGATGTCAGAGCACGGATTTTCAATGGGAAATAAAGGATACTGGATTTTCCATCTTGTCATGGCCATGCAGAGCAGTAGCACAAAGCACTAAATAGTGAAAGACATGAAGGATGGAGTAAGAAATATCAGGCACATTGAGTGTTCATCAGCAGGACAACAATTGAGTCTGGGCAGCCAAATGGGAGAACACCTGTATGCAAAATTTTAGCCATGAGTGTTTCAGAATTCACATATACTATTGTAGTGGGGGTTCAAGGTTTTGATTTCTTCCCACATTGCTTTTTCCTTTCAGACAGGACATGCAGACAGTAGAAAATTAATTTCTCCAAACTGCCTCCTGAGAACTTCAAAAGGATTGTGAGGTACACATTAAGGATAAGGATGTATATGACAATAATCATAACCTCATCAGCCTTCTCCAAGGTATAAATGCCACATTATTTTGTTTTATGGAAAATAAATGAGCATGACTTTTTTTTCCAACATGTGCTGGTGTACAGCTTGGCATGTTTAAGCTATGTTTGAATTTAGCTGACTGGGTAGACACTCAGGGAACATAAGTAGGAGAATCCTGGCAGTTTGTACCTTGGACAACTCAATCACCAACTTCAGTTCCGTGTCCCTCTAGGAGAAACCCCTTCCTTACTGTGTATTTCTCTTTGAGGCTCCTGATAGCTCATAGGATAAAGTTACTTATGGAACCTGGTGTGTCAACCAAAGGTAGAATTGCTGTATTTGGAAGCACAGAACACAGAAATATAAAACCTGTGATAACTTAGCATGGACGTCTATGTTTTCCTTCTTCACACTACCCTTTGAGCTGTCCATACAATATTAAAACCATAGCACCCAATTGAAAAAGGAGACTTAAAGACAGGTCTTTATTTCCTTCCTGTTCAGGAATAAGTTCAAGACTGTACCTGAAGTCAAAACCTCTGTACCTGTGTGTTTTAATAGTTGGAAAACACTGAAAACAATTAGTGCATCTTACCTAGAGATTATTAATGTATTTTTCACCCCTATCAGCTCCATTTACACTTTGTTTACTTAGTGCAGTTTGTTAGCATCTCTGAAGCTCGGCATTGTCATTTAAATTGGCTTCTAGTTTAGACATCCGTATTGAATATCAATTAAACAGGCAATAATTTCTCTGTATGAGGTTAATATGGGACAAAACTATAAAATTAACATAAATTAAGTTAGATAGTTTTTATTAACAAAAAGCTTAATCTCTTTGTGCTCAACTAAAATATCACGTGAGCTAAAGTTACTGTTTTCCTATTTCTGTAATGTTGTATTTTAATTTTTCCTTTATGTAAGTATGTGCTGTGTATTTGGAGAAGGAAATACTTTCCTTCTGATTCCTCAGAACTTATAGTATGGTTGTTCCAGGGAAGTACTCAAAAATATAAATCATCTGTGTTAAATATAGCATGATTCCTTGCTTCATTCCAAAATCTTGGCCATCATTGCAACATCAAAAACTTGGTATTTTCCTACCCCAAATTTATCTTTTTTAGGAATGTCTCACAGACTAGAGAGAGATAAAATAGCTCTTGTCTCTAGGTCTTGGACACATGGGAATCATCCTACCACCCAAAGAATTTAGGCTTTAATCATTCAGAGATCATGGGGAAATTTCTATGAACATAAGAGAAGCAAAAGAATTACACAGATAGAAGAGCAGCAAAACTGATTGTCTGGGGTGAGAGGAACATAGACTTTCATTATCATTACAAGATTCCAGAGAAATCTGACAATTTTATTCATCAGAAGAATTATTATTTCCTGAACAACTAAATTTTTAATTTAAAAACAAGGTAAAAATGCAATATGTATTAGATTCCAAAATTATTTGTATTACTCATTATATAGTGATGAATATTATACTCGTTTCCATTAGGCGGGATAGCGCAGAGAGATCAGGAAAATCCTAAACATTTCATAGTGTAGGAGGTCCATATACAGGCTGACATGTTCATTTCATGACTTCCATTCCAAGGTATTGTTTCTTATTTGAGTCAAAATGAAATGATAGCACCAATGAAATATAAAATGCTGGAAGAGTTATCTTGGAAAATTTATCACTGCATGGATCAAATTGATATTTTGATCAGACATGCTAAGAAAAAGGCAAAATGCATGAGAATAACTGAATTTTATCTGTAAAGTAAACATAGGTACTTTATTGCAATATTATACATGGTTCAGCAGTGAGAAGTCACACAACCAACCTTCATCCACATATCATGTAAGAAATTAGACTTCTGTGAAATAGAAGAATTTTGAAAGAATTGTCATTACAAGTAACTCTAAGTTAAATAATGTTCCTACTAGGTAGTAATGTATATCAGATAAATGTTACAAATAGATGTATGTGCATCACAGAAAGACTTAAAAGAACATGGTCAATGTCAAGGGGTAAATTTCAGGAGCAAGAAATATTGCATTGTACATTGTTTAAAGGAGGTCATGCCGGAGAAACTATTCAGCATTTACACGTGTGACTTGTTTATTGCACTTAAGATTTTATCCTCAATATGTATCCATTCTCCTATGAATGACTCTAATTTCTCATTCTTTGTGGCTGTATAGTATTCCATTTTATAGAAAAATAACACATCTTCTTTATCTAGTCTCCAAAAGATGGGCAAATGGGCTGTTTCCAAGTACCAATAAACTAAATGAGGAAAAAAAAAATAAAGGAGATCATGGCTATTTTAAGGTAAGTTATTTAGGAACAGCTTATGGATACATAATTCAATATCTTCATGAAAACATTAAAAACAGCCATTGTCTTTGGAGGACAGGTATGCAGGAAAGCAGAATCAGGCAAAATAATGAAGACCTCAAACTTCAAAGAAAATAAATCAAATTATAATAAATGCTAGTTACGAAACAAATATCAATAATGTTTATGTTTTGAAATTGGTAGTCAGTGTTTTTAACAGTAAGAATGTGGAAAACTAACATACCACTTGTAAATAGCAGGCTCTATCCAAGTGAGTGGTTCTTAAAACTAGCTTTAAAAACGTATACCTAGAATTCCTCATTGGTTTGGATATGAGTCAAGGTTATCAGTATATTTTAAACTATATAGGAGTGTATATTGATTTGTGAGATTGATAACCACAAGTTAAATTTATTAATTTTAAAAATGAATTTTCCCTATAATTCTATAGGCTAGACAATTACTATACCCATTTACATATGTGGAATTTATACATGTGTGTTTAAAATAGATCGTGTACTTATTTTTTGTCTTACCTGACAAAGTGGGCCTTTGGATAGTAGAAGTAAAAGAATTACATTCCATGCATCCAGAAGATTGATATGGAGATCTGCTAAGATATCCCATTAAGATTGGCACTGAAGCCTGGGCTTTGGAGGTTCTTTGGTGCTAAAGTTCTTAAGTCTAAACAGGAGGGTTCCCCTCACAACCAAGCAAGTTAATACTAGCTTTTCATTAACAGTGTATTTAACTATATATTTTAACTATTTTCTATATTTAACACTATATTCAATAGTGTTCAGAAAAGCTAGAATGCATCTAATGTAAGTTATCTAAACATTTAAAATTTTCTTCAAAATTGAATGATTTGTGAAAATAGTATTTAATAATCCCTTTTGATACTTTTTCCTCCAGAAGTTTTATTCATTTAATACTTTTACAAGTCAAACAATAGATAAGGTATTTATTTATTCAAGTTATCTGTATTGTATGAAGCACTATATTCCTGTTAGTATACATTTGCAATACATTATGTAATTACATTTATTTGGGGGAATAATATTTGAAAACAATGAAGGACAGACTGTCATCAGGTTACTACAGAATAATGTTACTACCTCTTCTTCCTAAAATAAGGAGAATAATAATATTCCATACCACTTACAAATGAAGAAATCTTGTAAAACAAAAGTTAAAAGTGTTTATTATCATTTCATTGCTTTGCTTTGTTTTGTTTTCTTTTGTTTTTTGAGACAGGGTCTCACTATGTAGTTGAGACTGACCTGGAACTCACTATGTAGCCCAGGCTGGTTTTGAGCTCACAGGGATCCTCCTGCCTCAGCCTCCTGAGTACTGGGATTATAGGCGTTCACCACCACACCCGGCTCTATTTTCTTATTCAAGAATATCCTAGTACCTGTCCATATCCTGCTATATTGTAATAAACCCACTCAATCTCAAAAGGATACTGAAACTCAGGTCTCAAAATTTCTTTCCTACTCTGAAAAGTACAGGAAGTTTAAAAATGAAACTGACATGCATATAGCTGAAGTCAAGTCTGGATCTCTGCTTA